TTTTCTACCTAATTTTTAACTTTAATTTTTATAATTTTTTCTATTAATCTTTTTTTCTCATAATTTTTATTTTAGGTGTGTGTGTGTGTGTGTGTGTGTGTGTGTGGTGTGTGTGTGTGTGTGTGTGTGTGTGTGTGTGTGTGTGTGTGCTTTCTTAAAATCTCTTTTAACCTTTTGGTCCTTTTTAAAATTCTTTTCATTTTTTTAACTCTCTTTCTTTCTTTTTTCTGTGACTTAATTGCTGTTCTGCTCACCCCCAGATATTTACCTGTCATCAATTATTAGACCTTATTCCCCATTATGTACTTAGCTAATCCAGAAATTTAGTGCTCATTTCACAATCTCTTAGGCTTAACTCCTTTAACAGCAGTATTATCTCTTTAACCTATACAATTTTCAAGTAACCAATTTTAAGAATTTTATTTTTTAGTTTTTCATGTTTCTTTTCTATCCCTCCCTTCCTTTCATCCTATCCTTTTCTTCTCAAATATCATTTCTTTAAACTTAAATAATTTTAAGTGTTTCACTTTTTAAATTTAAATTTTTGTTTTTCTATTTTTTTCTTTCTTTTTTTAAATCTCTCTCCTATGATCTGTCCAATCCATTTCCCTCTCTGAGATTAGGATTTGGTTAAATTCACTCTCCTGTTACCTCTCCACATCCTATTTTTCCCCATATTTCTCCATAAATCTAATAATTTCTACTTTGCCAAATCCTTCTGTGCTGTTCTTAGCCCATTTACCCATAGTTGTTTGATGTTGAAAAGATTGTATCTGTTGAACTAGATTGTATCTGCAGCTTTTTGACTGTGCAACTACAGGACTCTGTTTGATGCTTGCCTTGAAATAGTGTTCTAGCATAAAATTGGAGTTACTTCCATACCAAATAGGCAGAACAAGTCAGAGAAACACATGAAGAATGGCAAGTCCAGGTATCTCAACTCCCACTCATGATAATGACCTGACAGAACAGTTAATAAATAATCCAGAAGAGATTTTTCCAAAAAGCTCTACAAACACTACTGGTAAACATGGTGAATGAAAAGATTGAAAACCTGGAAAGGACTCAGTGTGAGCATGATAGGGAGCAAGAGGAGGCAAACCAAAGATTAACAGGAATCTCGTGAGCATGAGGAAGCTATTCAAAGATTAGTACAGGAATTGTGTTAGCAGGTTAAGAACAGTCAAACAGAAATACAGGAATTGCCTGAGCAGTCTGAGAACAAAGAGAAAGACTGGAATTGCCTGAGTAGGCTGAGAATAGTCAAAGAGAAACACAGGAATTGTGTGATCAAGCTGAGAACAGTCAGAGAATTACAGGAATTGTGTGAATGTGAGGAAGCTATTCAAAGAGTAATACAGAAAGATCTTCACTAGCCATAGACAAGGGTCTCATACCTAAAATATTCCTGAACTTAAAACATTAAAGCCCCCAACAACAATCCTCAAAGAAACAACGGCCGAATAAATAAGTGGGCTAGAGTCTTACAGAGAAACTTCTCTGAAGAGGAAAGAAGGATGGCTAATAGACACATGAAGAAATGCTCAACCTCCCTATCCATAAAATGCAAATCAATACAACATTAAGTTTCTACCTCACCCTAGTTAGAATGGCTATAATCAAGAACTCTAATAACAACAGATGCTGGAGGGGATGTGGACAGAAGGGGACCCTACAGCATTATTGGTGGGAGTGTAAACTTATTCAACTACTTTGGAAAGTAGTATGTAGGTTCCTCAAAAGACTCCACATAGAGCTTCCCTATGACACAGCGATGCCACTTTTGGATATTTACTGAATGATCACAAACAAGACCATACTAAAGCGACTAGCACAACAATGTTTATTGCAGCTTTATTTACATAGCTAAGGTATTGAACCAACCCAGATGCCCCTCTGTAGATGAAAGGATCAAGAAAATATATATACACATATATACATACATATATATACATACATATATACATATACATATATATGTTATATATACATATATATGTATGTGTATATGTAATATACACATACATATATATGTATGTAGATATGTTATATATATACACAGTGGAATTATATGCCTCCATTAGAACAAATGGCATTGCCCTGTTTGTTAGGAAATGGAAAGACTTGGAAAAATCATATTAATTGAAGTAAGGCAGGCTCAAAGAAACATAGTCACAGGGTTTCCCTTATTTGCAATAACTAGTATATGTCTGAGAAAAGCAGAATTGGTCAGGTGATTTGATGTTAGGTGAAATGAACCCAATCCTCTGCTCCCCAAAGTCCCCTTCTAGAAGTAAATCCCCTTAGTTTGGCACATTTCAAGAACCTCCTCCCCATTCCCTCCCACAATGACCAAATTCTTATTTCCCTTAAAGCTTCTCACATACCTTTTTTAACCCCAAATGAGTATCTCCTCTTTCCTGCTACCTGCTGAGGGCTAAAGTCCATTATCCTTCAGCTTCTTTCTGCCTCTCTCCTAATTCCCATTCACTCTCCCACAAAACCCCATATTAGGAATAAAAAAAACCCTAATGGCTCCTACTGCTTACTTCAGGACCCTGAAAAAATAATCAGAGTCATCTCATCTGTTCTCATTTATCCTATCCTTGTGTTCCACATCTTCTCCAACTCCCCAGTCTTTTCAGTTTTTTATTTAAACGACACCTTCTTTATTATCCCCTGACACATCACCTCAAGGCCCATCTTTGCCTTCACCTAGGAAAGACCCAGATACTCTCCAGGCTCAGCAAATAACCCAGACAGTATTGCCTCAAGGATTTAGAGACCGCCACCATTATATTGACCAAACCCTACAATAGGACTTGACCAATTACAACCTGTCCCCTAGTTTTCTTCTTCAATATGACCTCCTTCTTTTCAGCCTTTCAGCTGAGCCAAATATCAAACAACCTGATCATTAGTTGTTCAAAGGTTCTATATCCTCTGAATCCTCCCCTAAGTGTACCATCTTTAGTTAATTATTTGTATGTTTATAGTTAGACTTAAATTCTGGAAACTAGCAAAATCTGCCATACTGTTACATATATAACACATATTGTTTGTAATAAATATGCAAAGATACAAAATCTCTACTTCAATTTAATTATTCTTCAGTTTGATCTCATTTCATTCTCCCCTCCAGCATTACAGTGTTAAATCAGTCTTTCTAAAGCATTGCTTTGATTTCCCTTATCACCTGATTTTAAAAAAGTAATGATTTTCTATCACCTGAACTTTTCTTTCTTCAGATCTACAGCTTTTCCTCCAGCTTTTTCTTTGCTGTGGTTTGAATGTGTCTTCTCCAATATGACAGTAGTAAGAGGTGAAGCCTTTCCAATTTGATTAGGAAATGGAGGGACAAAGTGAACAAATGCAGCAGTTGTGGCAAAGGAACTATATAACTTGTGTGTGGGAAAAGAGGGAGAAACTGGGAAAGAGCAAGGAAAAAGGTGACATTGTCCAAAAAGAAATGTATTTTTGAGACGACCCAGGATCCAAGACTTGGCAAGATGGCAGAAGGAAGTGCAACGGCTCCGTGGAGAGCAACGGTGAGCGTGACGGCGGACGCCAGGGAGCGTCTTCCAAGGCTGACTAGGCTATCCCCGGGTTTTCATGAAGATCTTTAACAAGGGAAAGTAATCTGCACACAGCTCCCTAAAATCAGCATTAAAAATCAGCCTGGTGTGTACTGCTGGTGAAGCAGCCGCCTGGAAGATGCCATGAGTGCCACCATTTTACCTCATGCTCGAAATATCAGACACTGGTCCAGGGACACGGTGTTGGGGCCTGGACGCACTCCTTTTGTCTCATAGTGCCCCTATCCACTCAGAGAGATCCACTGAGCTTAACATCCTGATGCTAAGCACCAAGGGATAGCCAAGCAATACCAATAATGTAAAGATGGTGGCTTGCTTGCCAAGTGACTCATTCTTCAATGTTGGCTCATAATATAGGGCTTTGTTTAAATGGGGGGAAAAAATCTGCTCCATCAGCTGCATGGCAGTGATGGACTAAATAGCAGGAAGAATAAGATTACCATCTTACACACACACACACACACACACACACACACACACACACACACACACACACACACACACGCCTTATTCTCTAGGGACATTATTCCCAATGAATACTAATGAATAAATAAATTGGAATCTGTAAAAGGTATCAGTTCAACCGTTTGATATTTGATATTGATAGTTATTTAAAAAGAATTATTTAAGAAACATAAAAATGTGACTCTGAATGTGCCTAGATAGGGAAGCGTGATGTGCAGATATATTTTACATGACTTATTTTCAATTAAATTGTTTGGACTGCACTTTTAAAATAGTTCCAAATGACAAACGTGATGGATGTTTTCTTTATCATGAAGGAAATAATTGCCAGATATTTAGGTCTCTGAATATTTGTTTTGAAATCTCACTCAAAAGAGATTTAGCCCCAATGCCTCCACAAAATGATTTAATGAATATTTATTGAAGAACTGTGGTGAGTTGTGCTATAAGTATATTGGGAAGAAATATGGAGCATAAATGTAATCTATTCGCTGTTTATAAAAATAAATAAAAGATGATCATGACTACTGTTAAAATCTACAAAAAAAAATAAAGAAATGTATTTTTACCTGACTTCTGTAACTGTAACCCCCCATATATCCCCTTTGTAATAACCATAAACATTTTTTAAGTTGACAAAAGTAATAAATACCTTTTAAGAATTAGTAAAAAAGTAAATACCAAGCATTCCACTCCCCTTCTTAACCCTCTTGCTTCTTGGGGCTACAGAGCCTTGAAATACTCTACTCAGTTGTGCCAGATTTTAGTCACACCTAGGGGTCATTATTTCTCATCAGGGATGAGCTATACCTCCCTGCACAATTCAGGACCTCCTCAATTACCACCTGTCTCTGTCCAACGAAGAGCATCTGGCCCTTCTTGGCCTTCTTTAACTTCTTTCACCTCTGGATTCCCATTTTTTTCCCTTATAGACTTTGCCTTGCACTCTGTCACCAAACGGTCCCTTTTCATTCAGCATGATTGCCAGTAGTGTTTCTAGAGCATTTTGAGAACTATCCTCTAGGTTTTTCATTGACTGCTCTGTTGCCAATTCCAAGTGGGATAGAACAAGCCATAGAAACACAAGATAAATGGCAAGTGAAGGAGCCTCAACTCCAAACAAGGAGGCAACAGATTCTGATTTCTTCAAGGAGCCTTCTGAATGGTTGAACTGTTCCTTCTCTTGTACTATTTAAAGATCATGGCCATATATTGAGTCTGAGCATGATCTAATGTATTTCCCCCTCTTTGGGGATCCCTTTCTTTTTGCTATCTATTAATATTTAGGATCCTTAGAGACTGAGGTGACAAGGCTAAACTCAGACCATCATGCACTAGATACCTTCAACTTCCCGTGAGGAATAATGACCAATAATCAAACTATTCCTCCAGTGGTTCATCTTAAGTCACGTTGATGCCCTGGCCCTTTTTGCCAGAAAAAAGTACTCATAGAGATTCCCATGGGAAACTAGTGCTGCTTAATACCCTGATCTAAATTTCTGAAGGAGGTGAAAGAGAATGTGAAAGAGAGAGAGAGAGAGAGAGAGAGAGAGAGAGAGAGAGAGAGAGAGAGAGAGAGAGAGAGAGGGAGAGAGGGAGGGAGGGAGGGAGGAAGGTATGGAGGAGGAGAGGGAGAGAGAAAGATGTACAGAGGGGGTGAGGGAGAGAGGGAGAGGTATTTCCTAGGAAAATACACTCAGTAATATTGCAGAACAGTAAATATTTGAACAGAAATACACAACTAGCTCAGAAAATATTCTCAAGTAACTGTAATCAAAGTATGGAAACTTTCATCAAAATGAATGTTCATATATCAGTGAACTGACCAATATAGTGATATTAAAGCATCATTATAGCCTGCATATAGGGAAAGAAAGAATCACAGTAGATTTGTAATTAAAAGGACGACTGATAGCATAAAAGGAAGATTACATTGGAGGAAACAAAGGATATCCAGGAGGAAATACAAATTTAGACAGTCTAGTTGGAATCTTGCTCTAACTCTAACACAACCCACAAAATGAATAAGTTCAAATGGTTATTGACTGCCCAAATTGTATGGATTTGTCTCAGAACCTCCAAGCTTTCTAGACAAAATTTATGTCCATCTTAAGATTTATTTCTTTCAGTTGTTCTCTCCCTACACCTGTGCAGTGAATTTCTCTCAGGTCTTATCAAGACAATGTAACACTTGGGGGCAAAGATGCAGCTCAGGAGGCCTCCACTGGGGGCCAAGATGAAGACCTCCACGGCCACCATGACCTTCACCTTGGTGCTATGGTAGACAGGCAGGAAGGTGAGCCACATACTGCAGAACATCAGCATGCTGAAGGTCAGGAACTTGGCCTCATTGAAGGTGTCAGGCAGGTTCCTGACCAGAAAAGCCACAGTGAAGCTGGCCAGGGCCAGGGCACCCAGGTATCCCAGGACAGAGAAGAAAGCGGTGAGAGAGCTCATGTTGCACAGGATGATGATGTGGCCATGTTCAGAGTGTGCATCTATGTCCACAAAAGGAGGAGAGATTCCCAGCCAGAGACCACAGAGAGTCACTTGGATGAGAGTGCAGATGGTGATGATGAGGTTAGGAGCCCCGGACAACAGCCACAGTCTCATGCTTCTCCCTGGATCAGTGAGTGTGAAGGCCAGAAGCACAGTGATGATCTTTGCTGGGACCGTGGAGACAGCCACGGTGAAGACCACTGCGAATGTGGTGTGCTGCAGGATGCAGGTGGCTGTGTTGGGACGGCCAAGGAAGAGCAAGGAGCAGAGGAAGCAGCAGGTGAGGGAGATGAGCAGGATGTAGCTGAGTGCCCGGTTATTGGCCTTGACAATAGGGGTGTCTTGGTGCTTGATAAACCCCCCAAGAACAGCAGCTGTTAGTGCAGAGCAGCAGAGAGGCATGCAGACCAGGGACAGGCCCAAGGGGTCTTCATAAGCCAGGAAGCCCTCAGTTTTCATGAGGCAGTGGTTTCTCTGGGTGTTGGCAAATTGATGATCTGCACACCTGACACACGGCTCCATGTCTGATGAGGAGTGAGAATCACTATTAGTCTGGTTTCCATATTTCTCTTTCCTCACATCCTCCTCTACTTAAGCAGCTCATTTCCCCTGATTCACCAGTTAACCTGTATTGCTCTCAATACCAACTAGTATAACTCTCTGTATCAAAATACGTTCACCTGAATTCTCTTTCTTTCACACATTTCTTCTTCTTTCCTTCTTCCCTTTCTCTTTTTTCTGTTTATTTCGCTTCCTTCCTTCCCTCCCTCACTCCCTCACATCACCCTCGTCTCTCTCTCTTTCTTTCTTTCTTTTTTCTTTCTTTTTCTGTCTGTCTGTCTGTCTGTTTGTCTTTCATCCAGTGCTTGAACTCTGCCCCTAGGAATTTTTCCAGAGTATTCATTCTCAAAACTACCCCTCTACCACTTGACTAACAGCTCAAATTCCAGCTCTTTTGGTGCTTAATTGTGGAAAAGATTTTTACTGAGTTTCCTGCTCATCATTGCAATGAAGCTCCATCCTCAAATCTCAATTGCCTGAGTCACTTGGATTACAGGTGTAATATATAATTACCTAGCCATCCTGCTGCATTCTTGACAGGCCATACCACTCTGGCTCTCTGCTACTCATTCAAGAAATAATGGAAAATATAGAATCAGCCCAAGCACTTCAATTTAAAAAGAAGTTTTAATCCTGAACTCAACCTACTACTTACCCCAAACAAACTTTCTGAGCATTTGATCTATGGGAGGAGTTGTTGGGGAGGTTGGAAGGAAGAGATGGTAAGAGAAAAACAAAGGAGGAGGCAACAATACTCAATAAGAAATGTATTCATTTCCTTACCGATGTAAATGTAACCACTCTGTACAGGATTTTAACACTAAAAATGTATTAAAGAAAGAACAATGCTCCTCCACTGATATGAGAGGATCTCAGAAAGCTCAGCTTGAGGAAGGAGAAGAGACACGAAATGGAGATGGTGAACTACTTCTGAATCAATGGTATTTGAGTAATTGCTAGTCAACCTAGTGCCAGTGTCAGATATGGAGTGATCATAACAAAAAAAACAAAACAAAAAAGCCCAAAAGCCCCTTGTATTATTAGGTGTGCTAAATAGAAAATAACATTTAATTAGGAAAGAGTGGCAATGAGCATTCACAAATGAAATTCTGTTACATCCACAATTCCATTTAGATTTGCATGTCATTTCAACCATCAACAACTAATCCTTGATATTTTCTTTTTTATATACTTTCTTTACATACAAAAACATGTGACTGAGGAGAGGGGAACAGGGTATTGTAATGGAGGGGCAGTGGGTTGTTTCTTCTAAGGAGAAGTATGGTTAATGGTAGTCATAGAACTTTGGGTGAAGGTGCATGTGTGTTCCTGCTGTTTTATTGTATATCACTCCACTGGTTTGGATGGACTGAAGGTTAAGAAGGTGAGATGGGGAATTTCTCTATAAGTCACAGACTCACCTGTCTGCATTAGAAATCTCATTCTCTGGACAAAGAATGCAGTCAAAGCAACAGGTAGCATTTCCTTCCACAGAGGCCTTCCTGTATCCAGAACCACAGTTCTCAGTGCAGACAGACTGAGGAGTCTGGGAACATTCAGATGAAGGGTAGTACTATTCATCCTTTTACCTGACATCCCAGACACTCCAGTACTTTAAGGAAAAAGATCATCAAAAACAAAATCTTTAAATACATACAACCAATGAATTGATTGAGCCTTCTTACAGTTTCATGTAACATGACCTGAAGAATATATGGAGAATCGACATCCAGCCCCTCACGCTATCAGGAAGTCATGGAGCCTTGAAGAGGTGGATGTTAATTCTAGGAAATTAGGAAATGGGAGTTAACCCTACATCCCATTCTTGTATCAGGTGATGATGTGTTTTCTCTCATAAGAAGAACATCACTAGGGGAAACTTTAAATCAACACTCTAAAGCATGGCTAAGTGTTTTGAAGGTGCTGTTGTATCCAGGGTTATTCACATCTCACTCCCTTGACTTCCCAGCTGCCATGAGGTGGGTGAACTTCACTGGCAGATGCTCCTTTCATTACAACCTGTGTCAACACGGATCCAAAAGCAACAATCTACCCAAGCATGGTCTGAAATCTCCAGGCAGAAGCAAAGCAAGCCCTTCTGCCTTCTCATTTGATTCCCTCAGGTATTTGGTCACAGTGTTGGAAAGATGATTCACAAGTGGCATTTAGCTTTTATGATATTCAATATGCAAACATAGAACAACATATTGATAATGAAATGTTCCCCTATTCCCTACATGAATCTGTTAGTAAGAAACTTCCAGAAACAGGAAGTGGTGAAATGTACACGACTGAACCATAGTTTTATTGAACAAGCTTTAAAAAAGGGTAAGCTTATTGCTTATTTATACATAGATTATGACATTATGCTTAGAAACAACCAACTCTGGGGGAGAAATAGGATGTGGTGACAGTGTCTACAAGCATTGTGATTGTAACCTGACTAAGGAAATTGTAAGCTCTTTCTACAACTACTTCCTAATAACAATACTTTTTTTTAAAAAAGAGAGAGTAAAAAAAGTAGAAATGACCCACCTTGGTAATTCCTATGGGCCACTCTATCAGATTTTCAAACAAAATCAGTTGTTGATCATATGGCCTAGATGGAGAAAACTCGCCAACTTTCACCCTTTGTCCCAGACCTTCTGGAAAATTCCAAAAGCTCTTAATGTCATATTCTGCCTCCAATTTCCTTTCCTCATTCAAAACCACTTGGTCTCCAACAGGATTGGTAAATTGGATATTCTTCAAAAAGGGATGCAGCTAAAAGGGACACATTACAGTATGGTGAAGTGCTTCCCAGTGTTATCACAGAACCCCAGAACAATGGATTACACTTCATTCCCATCCCCTGATTCATACACACCACAGGAATCCAACCAACTGTATCAATTGCAGGCCCACAGCAGACTAAAGCGTTACCAAGTTCTAAAACCTGGGTATCCAGGATGGGATGCAGAAACTCAATTTCAAGGGAATGCAACTCCAGCTACATCTAACAAAATAATGAATTATCATATGACAGACCTCAAAGACTCTCAATTGTATTCCAATCACTTATTTTATGATTGTGATCAGAGAGTCAGTCTGAAATAAGGAGAATAATAAACTAAGTAGGATAGTAAAATATTTATGACAATTATGAAAGACTACTTTAAGCAAGACTTAGTTCATTGTGGTGTGTGTGTGTGTGTGTGTGTGTGTGTGTGTGTGTGTGTGTTTATCCTGTGACACAAGCTCAGGGCTTAGGCACTCAAATCGAGGTGGTTTTAATTTCTTTTCAAAGTATGCATTCTATCCATTGAGCCAAAGCTCCACTTCTGGCTTTTGATAGTTAACTATAGTCAGGAGTAAGCCACAGATGTGAGCCACTTGTGTCCAGACAATATTAGGTTTTCAAGAATTAGTCACCTTGATCTGTTATTTTAAGAAGTTACAAGGACAATTTGGATATATTGAAAAGGGGACGGCTTTTTCCACACATAGTGTGGATGGGGACAGAAGACACAGCACTTCCTTTTCATGGATGCAGCGTTCTTCAAGAACATTGTCTTCACAGCTCTACATTCACTCATGTAGAGTATGACAGGCCCAATGTTTCTTATATTTTCCAAAATGGAGCCAGATGACCTAGTTCCATCTGCAATGAAATCTTCTATAGAAAGTCTATATGCCTAGAGTAGGTCACCCAAAACCAAAGCCATTACCTGTGAAGAGAGAAATGCCCTTGATTGACCATTGTGCCCTAGTGGCTCCTCCATGTGACAAAGAAACATCTGGTGGAGGGTGTGGGCCAAGGCATACACAGCATTATAGATGTTGTAATTCTCTTCTGACATGGTCATGTCAAAAATATGCCTCAGCAACCAATGGAGTGTGCCATTGTATGAGCAGTGCCCCAAGTCTCTGCAGTCAGACTTAATCAGTAGGCTATAAACAGACTGAATCCATGACCTAGGAAGGGAATTATTTCCTAAGTTATTTGACAAGGTACCTTTCAGAATAAAATTGGTGAACAGAGAAGTGTTTCTATGATGATGAGAGAAGGTGAGAGATGCGTGGAAGGAGTGGATCAGAAAATATCTTTTACCAATGGTGATGTCATCATAGGGTGAGTTCATGACCCACACTTTCCTTGTAATTAAAATGTGCCCAAATTTAACAATAAAGCTTAGTAGAAATTTACTGTCCCCATAAATGATAATCACATTGGTTGATGAGTCCATTAGCTGGCAATACGTGGACAGATCATCTGAGTAATCTGTAAAGGCATTGTAAGGGATCATGTTCTCAAAGGCAAAACAGACTCTACTCTTGCCCATCTCTTCTCTCAATTCTGAGAGGAACCACACACCATAGTTGTCTTCAGTGATGAACAGTCCCACCCAGGTCCAGCCGAAATGAAGCATCAAAGAGACCATGGCCAGGGCTAGATCTGAGTCTTTGGCTGCCATCTGATAGACAGTCCCAAACTTTCCATGGTCACTCAGGAGAGGATCAAAAGCCCCAAAAATGAACTACAGGGAAAAAATGAACACAACACCAGGAAGAGGATGGTAATAGGCAAGTCTCAGTCCTGATGTAAGCTAAACAAAAACTGGGAAGGATGGGAACAAAAGTTTGCTTATCCCATTTGCAAAGTCATCTCCCATGTTCCAAGCACTTTGCATACATGTATGGTTAAGGCTCAGAGCTTTGGGTCATCCTTTCCTTTCTTAAAACCTCTCCTTTTATTTAGAGCAAAGAAAATGTGTATGTTCCACCAACTTTTGGAGTCTTTTCCCTGTGAGATTATGCATTTGGAAGGGTTCATGATAATACCTCTTCAGCCTGTCCAGGACAGAGTCCATGTGGACATAGTTTCACATCTGCCCACCTCTCCCAGCCTCACCTGTGGAAGTTGGTAGAGGTCCAGCAGTGTCCCGATTGGAACAGATGTGCTTGAGGTTCCTGTGAGTCCTGCTAAAGCTTTGCTGTCTCTTCTGCAGGTGTAATTGGGGCTGTTTTTATTTTTCCCAGACAGCCAGATGAGAGGATCCTCTAACAGATCAGTACCTGAGTAATGTGCTGTATAGATCTCAAACCCCAGAGTCATGTTGGGTAGCAGATGGGGATTCTTGTTGATCTCTTCCACAGCCAGCAGCAGGGTGAGAAGCAATTGGTATTTCTTTAAGTTGATCCTGCACAAAGGTCACAAATTTTGGGTAGGTATATGCTTATCACAAATGATTAACTGCAAATCTCATGACTTCTTTTTGAATCAAGTGCTTATCTCTACCCACAGTAGTATGTGTAGATCCTATCTTCCAACAGGATGGTATTCTAAATTGGAGTCTTAGAATTGAGAGAGCTCCTATACAGGACTTGATCAGCATACATGAAGTGACTGTTCTTCTGAGATTGTAGAGAGGAGGGGGGGATGAGCAAGGTGTCTTTTCCTCTCTTGCACATATGTCTATGTGAAAAATACTGCTGTCTGTTGGAACACAGGGGCATGCCCAGCTCACACCCCAAATCATTAAATACCTTGAATTAGCTGTGCATATGAAAAAATTCTTAAGAAATACAATTCAAATTGGGAGCAGATTGTCCACCTGAGTTTGACTAATATGAGCAGAGAGGCAGTGCCTGCTGTCTCAGGAGTAAATAGCAAACAGGCTGCCTTGTCTCTGCACTCTCTTGCCAGACTTTGCCGATGGTGCACCCTTCTGCAAAGACCTGAATCTTACCTTGTGAGGACATTAAAGAAAACAAAGCAATTTAATTCATTTCATATCGTAGAGGCACACTAAGCTGACTTAGAGAATGCCATCATTCAAGGGGATTACTCAGAAGCAGTGCAAGATGGCAACTGAGGGAGAGAGAACCTGAAGCTTGCCTCACCTAACAAAGAAGAGATGGGAGTCATGGGGTGTGGACCGGAGGGTACTTCTCTAGGGGAACAAAACAACAGATAAAGATGTGTGAGAAAAGGAAGAAAGAAGCTGCCTCCATGTTCCTCCCAGTCAACAGCATTACTATCTCATTATGGACAGAAACCCCTCAACATTGCCGGGAGGGAGAGAATTAAAGTTAAATCTCATCCCTGTATCTTGGAACGAGTGCTGGGGAAGTGGTTATAGTCTCTACTCTTGTGTCCAGACATTTAGATTGCTCCTATGGAACTGGTTTAGGACAGAGAAGGAAGACACTGCCACACCCTCCCTCCTCCAATCTTGTCAATGACAGCAGGTATGGGAAACAATCTCCTAGTGAGCAGGGCAGAGTGCTTCAGAGTTTTTTCTTAGAACCCTGTGTCAGGCATGTCATGATTGGACTAATAATCCAGAATAAACTAAAAGCACTGTTTGATGCTAGCACCCAAGCATCTGCTAGAATCTTTCAGGAGATGTTGGAAGGTCACTGAGGCAGACCCAAATGCCATTTCCATCAGTTTCCACCATGGTTGAAGTAGGCTGACACCTATCTTCTTGCTTAGCCTTGCGAAGGCACTGTTGCTATGTGACTCTGTTGACATCTGACTCAGTCCCAGTCTTGTGCACAGTGAAGAATCTCAGAGACCATTGCCCTAGAAAGATAGTGCTCAACACGGAACCAAGCAGAAACGTAGGTTGCTCTAGGAAACTAATGTGCACTGGTCTATATCAGCATTAGCTGGAGTGTGGGACACCTGACAGTTTGGCTTTCTGGATGGGAGATTGAGTCTGAGTGTATAGCAGTGTTCACCAAGATGGCCCTGTGGCCTGCTTTTTTTTATTTTGTCAGTTTTAGTGCTTGAACTCTAGGCCATGGATCTGTCCCTGAATTTTTCAGTTCAAGGCTAGTGCTCTACCACTTGAGCCACAATGCCACTTTTGGCTTTCTGACGTTTAATTGGAGATAAAAGTCTCATGGATTTTCCTGCCTGGGATGGCTTTGAACCCTGGTACTCAGATCTCAGCTTCCTAAGTAGCTAGGATTACAGGCATCAGCCACCGGTGCCCAGCTGTGTCTTCCATTACAAACTTTACCAAGCTGCTGTGACACAGCATGGTTCTCCATTCTACTTCCCATGGGTTGGATACAGGGAATTAAGATGGTGACCTTGTCCCATAGCTTAGTGTGGGCCATATGATAGCACTAGAACTTTGCCATCACCCCATAGCCAGGACAGCCTCTGGCAGAGCTCTATAATCATCTCAGTACCTGTGAGTCGTCTACCACCAGACAGTCTGAATTCTATTCTAGCTATCACTAATTGTGTATGGTTGTGGCCATCTTGGCCCATGAATGCACCTCTACCACATTCAACCTGAGGCAATCTTAGTGCTCACCTAGCACTGTATTGGTCTTGATTGCAGTGGACTGAGGATGCTGTACTCAGGCAGGACAGACTAAGGAAAATGAGGCCTGGTTAATGCATGCCAGGAATTCAAAAACTCAAGCTTAAAGCTTGTCCATCTACTTCCCTTTATATTAAGGGAATGAAATCATTTAGGGGAAAGTGGAGTAGAATAGATTAGTAAAAAATGAGGTTTGGGAAGCTCACAGTAAATAGAGAAGTTTTCATCCATCTACATATCTTAAGATTAAGGGACCATGCAGAAAAAGCATTCGACAAGATCCAACACTCCTTTATGATAAAGGTTCTGGAAAAATTAGGAATCCGTGGAACATTCTTCAATACAATAAAGGCTGTATATGACAAACCTACAGCCAGCATTATACTTAATGGTGAAAAACTAAAGCCATATCCTCTTAACTCATGAACAAGACAAGGATGTCCACTCTTTCTTCAATCTAGTATTAGAATGCCTAGCTACAGCAATAAGACAAGATGCAAACATAATGGGGATCCAAAAAGGGAAAAAAGAAGAAAAACACTCCCTCTTTGCATATGACATGGTCTTATATTTAAAGAATCCCATAGACTCCATTCCCAAATTACTCAAGCTGATTAACAACTGTGGCAATGTAGCAGGGTATAAAATTAACCCTCAAAAAATCAATGGCTTTTCTGTATGCCAATAATGAGAAAAGTGTGGCTGGAATTAGGAAAGCAACTCCATTCATAATAGCCCCACAAAAAATAAAATACCTAGGAATTAACTTAACCAAAGAAGTGAAGGACCTCTATGATGAAAATATTAAAAACTAGAAAAAGGAAATCAAAATAGAACTTAGAAAGTGGCAAAAACTCTCATGCTCCTGGATTAGAAAGATCAACATCATGAAAATGGCAATACTTCCCCAGGCTATCTACAAATTCATTGCGGTCCTATCAAAATTTCAACCTCATTTTTCAAGGAAATAGAAGAAGCAATCCAAAAATTCATATGGAACATAAAAGACTCCGAATAGTAAAAATGATCCTTAACAGAAAGAACACTGCTGGAGGAATATCAATACCAAATTTCAAACTCTACTATAAAGCCATAGTAATCAAAACAGCTTGGTACTGGCACAAGAACAGACCTCAGGTCCAATGGAATAGAACTGAAAACCCAGAAATGAACCTACAGACCTACAGCCATCTAATCTTCGATAAGGGAGATAAAAAAATAGAATGGAAGAAAGACAGCCTCTTCAGTAAATGGTGCTGGCAAAATTGTTAAAGTACTTGTAGAAAACTAAAGCTAGATCCTTGTATATCACCCTGCACCAGAATCAACTCCAAATGAATCAACGACCTCGGAGTCAAAGCAGACACTCTGAAACCATTACAGGATGGAATAGGAGAAACCCTAGGTCTCCTTGGCACATGCCAAAAATTTTTTAGTAGAGACCCAGAAACACAACAAAACAAAGAAAGGTTGGACAAATGGGATTGCATGAAATTGCAGAGCTTCTGCATGGCAAAGGACACAGCTAGAAAGATCAATAGAAAGCTCAAGGATTGGGAGAAGATCATCACTAGCCACACAACAGACAAGGGTCTCATATCTAAAATATACCTTGAACTCAAAAAATTAAATACCCCAACAACAAATCTTTAAAGACACAACTGCCCAGGAAACAAGTGCGCTAAATACTCAAAGAGAATCTTCTCTGAAGAGCAAAGAAGGATGGCCAATAGACACATGAACACATGCTTAACTTCTCTGGCAATAAAAGAAATGCAAATCAAAACAACATTGAGATACCACCTCACTCCAGCTAGAATGGCTAAAATCAAGAACTCTAAAAACAACAGATGCTGGAAGGGATGTGGACAGAAGGGAACCTTACTGCATTGTTGGTGAGAGTGTAAACTTGTTCAACCACTTTGGAAAGCAGTATGGAGGTTCCTCAAATGACTCCACATAGAGCTCCCCTCTGACCCAGCAATCCCACTGTTGGGCATTTACCCAAATGCTTACAAACAAGACCGTAATAAAGCTACCAGCATGACTATGTTTATTGCAGCATTATTTACTATAGCTAAGATATGGAATCAAGCCAGATGCCCCTCAGTAGATGTATGGATCAAAAAATTGTGGTATATATACACAATGTGATTCTATGCCTCCATCAGAAAGAATGACATTGCTCCAATTTTTAGGAAGTGGAAAGGCTTAGAAAAAATTATATTAAGTGAAGTAAGCCAAGCCCAAAGAAACATAGGTCCCATGGTTTCCCTTATTTGCAATATCTAGTATATGTCTGAGTCAAGCAGAAAAGGTCAGATAAGTTGATGTTAGGGAAATGAACCCTAAGATATGGATTCAAATGTTTTTTTCTTTCATGTGATTGTTCCTAACACATTTATAAGATTATTTCTTTGTTTCTTTGTATGTCCCTCCCCCACAGTATAACTCCTTCTTTCACTTTATTTCATATCGGTATAATTTGTGGAGGGGAAGGGGAAAAACAAATCATTTAAATAGGGATACAGTTGGATCCATTGCAACAATGAGATGTACAAGTCCTTATGTCGAAAACGGACTTTACAACCTCCATGCGGGGGGGGGGGGGAACTGGGGAGTGGGGGGAGCATAGGAAGGGATGGGAAGGGGAAACAAAGGAGGAGGCTACAATACTTGGTAAGAAATGTACTCATTATCTTGCCCATGTAGTTGTAACCCCTCTGTACAGTATTTTCACAATAAATAAAGAAAAGAAAAAAGAAAAGGCAAGAAATAACTTAAAAAAAAAGATTATGGGACCAAAGTCATTGAGCACAAAAAGAAGCTGGATAAATTATCGGAAAAATGAGTCCTAGAGAAGGCCACTTAGAAACATGTGATTTAGAAACACAGGGCTACTATCTTTACTTCAAAGATAGACGACAGGTTGCATTCCTTCCTGAGAGATGCATTTCTCATCATATGAAATAGCAGTTGTCTTGTTGTATGTACGCCTTCCTCCAAGATGCTCCCCCAAACTTTAGCAACATCCTACCCCAAATATAGACAACAGCACACCTTCCCTCAAGGATAATCATCTGGAAAGAATGCCCAAAACATACAGAAACTCAGAAAGTTTAACACCAGGAATGATTAGAACAAAAGTGAGACACATATGTTTGCATAACTTTGAAGTGAGAACTCCTACCTTTACCATATGAATACCCCTGGCAGCCCAAGAGCTGTGTGTCTCTCCTCAGTTAGAGTGTGTCTTTGCCTTTCTGCTTCCTGTTTGTCTACCTGCTTGCTTGTTTGCTTCCTTACTCAGGAAAGCTCTGCCACATTTTCTTACTGTTGTGACTTGTCTAGAATTTTTTTTTCTGTGATCAAAGTCCAGGATCCCAAGTGAAGAGTCCCTATTTTCGAGGGAAACTTCATTAACCTTCATCTGATTTGGTGACCCTGCAGATTGGTATTCCAGGTGTAATAGAGTTCTGGTGTCCACAGCTGTGACAAAGGCACACAGATCTTGCCACTGCTAGGCAGAATCCACTCACAAGGCCATTCCCTGTGGAGGAGGCATATGTTCCCCCTGTGCACCCAAGAGGAGGCATACTTGGACCCACGACTCATTAAAGTTCTCTTGAAGTTTTTAGAACCACAGAGTATTTGTCACCAAAATTGCCTTTGCTTTTCTCTGGTACTGAAGTGGTTTATCACCTCACAGCTGATTTCCCTCAAGGCCTGCGCTCCCTCTAGTGGTGCCATTGTGGAAGTCACTACAGACTCAGGAACACTGAAGCCTGCCTGGAATTTCTGGAAAGACAGGCACAAAGCCAGACCACTGGTGTAATTCAGAGACATTTCAAAGGCCAGATGGTACCACATGCCAATATGAATCAAGAATGTTCCAGAACAATGAGTTCTCCTAGAATTCATTGTAATCATTTTGGGGAAATTCTCATAGAATCTCAACTCTCATGGATGTTTGCTGATGTCCTTGTGTACAATTTAACTCTCAGGCTTGACAGCTAGAATGTCAGTTATACTAAATATGAATTGGGAACTGGTGGCTAAGGCCTGTAATTATAACTACTAAGGAGGCTGATATAGGAGAATTATGTTTTGTAGTTACTTTGGCCAGGAATGTCTGTGACAGTCTTATGTGCAAGCAACTCAACAGAAACTGGTGCAGAGCTGTGGGTCAAGTGGTAGAGTGCCAGTCATGACAGAAAAAATGCTAAGGGACAGCCATCAGCACTTGGGATGACGCCTGAGTATCAGAGTATGTGTGAACATGCACACACACACACACACACACACACACACACACACACATACACACACACACAAATCCACAGCCCAATTAGTGAATGGACAGAGAAGAGGATAGCTCTGACATCTCCCACCTCCCATGGGGTACGTTTCTAATGCTAGGTTTACACATGAGCCCCATCTTTCTCACTCAGTTCCTCAACAGGATCAGTTGCTTCAATATCCCTCACATATCTCTTATTTAATAAAGTATTCCTCTCCTAAACCAACCTCAAACAGGATGTTTCCACACAACTTGTCTGAGAAGATTCATCCATGACTTCTCTAGTTTACAGAGAATTATGTAGATCTGAAAGTAGTGAGCTCATCTGGGTCAAATGCATGAATGAAAGTGTGTATAAAATATGAAAAAGTCAGGCATCTTTGCTCACGCCTGTCATTCTAGTTACTCAGGAGGCTGAGATCTGAGGATCAGTGTCCAAAGCCATCAAAGGCATTAGAGTTCATGAGACTCTTATCTCTAATAAACCACCAAAAAATAGGAAGTGGCACAAGCACTGGAGCGCTTGTCTTAAGCTGAATAGCACAGGGGCAGCATCGAAGCTCAGAGTTGAAGCCCCATTACTGCCAATAGATATGAAAAAAACATTCAAATGTAGTTTAGGAAGTTATGAGCAGGGAAAAATAAATAAGCCTGGAAAGATGTTGGAGGACAAGGAATGGAAGCAGAGCTTCTGGGAATGACATGGGACACAGGCCAAGACATGGACATCAGGGCAGATGTTTACTTACATTAATTAAGGGGAAAAAATCAAACATGTCTTGAATCTCTTATTACTGATCTGACCAGCAGCTCCCCATTCCCAGAGCTTTGCTGACACAAAATAATTCCAGAAGCAGAAATTGCATGTCCACCCTAACAAAAGTTGCTATGAAGGAGGTCCAAACATTGGTCCTGTTTTGAAAAGTGTAAAGTACAGAATTGATTGAAGAGTCCTTGGACTTTGCACTATGGATGGGGACATTGCTCATTAGTGTCCGTATGGACTCTTGGTCACCCCAGTGACCTTGAGTTACAGTGATGAGTGGAGGAGACACAGTGATGGTGGGGTGGTCAGACATCGCTGGAAAGGGGAGTGGAATGGAAGACAGACAGAAAACTCTTTACCTTTGGATGAAAGAATAATATTCATCAGGAAAATCTGAAATGAAGTAGAGCTGTTGTAGTGAGGGAAATGTAGAAGATGCAGAGGACATCAGTGATTGTTTCCAAAATTCCCCCACCTCTGAATGTAACCCAAAGAGAAAATTCACAATTTAAGGAAAGCCAAGAAATCACTTACTGAATGTTCTGTTGCTGCAGGGTAGGGTCATTCAAGCTTTGAATGAACAATTCCCAAGAATAGAGGGGGTAAAATCCAACAATGACCACATGTCCCCTGCTGCATACCACAGATTTCTCTGTGCAAATCCGTCTGCTGTCTTCAGAGGAACTGATCAGGTGTGGATGCTGGAGAAGCAGTGTTAGAGTCACAGGGAACATTGCTGCCGCTTTGACCTGGAGCTGTGATTCTGGATGCAGACTCTGATTTCTGTGTCAAACAGGTGTCTAAATGGATCTTCAGTTTTTGTGGCTTCTTATTACCTGGATGGCCTCCTCTGTCCTAGAGGAATACAGAGCCCATTCTGCCCTCTGGCTCTGCATCTGGGGTCTGGCTTCAAGGTCAAAACAGTAGTTAGAAAACATGTGTACAATCTTCCTCTCCACTTCCTCAGGACTGTGATTTCATCCAAGACTGTAGATAATGATACTCCAGGAATGGATTCCTTTCTTGTTGATTGTTCACAAATTTGTTTGAAAGCAAAAAGTTGAACAGAAAAAGCACAACCAATCAAGGGTCACTAGGGATGAGGGGAATGGATGACACCAGAAGATGCCATGTGAAGGTCAAATGGTCATAGAATGCCATGGCCAGAAAAGGCCCAATAAGAGTTATTGGAGCACCGTCAAACATAAGGATGGGCAGCCTCACAATCCAGGGCCAAGTGAGCCACAGAAGTTTGCTGAAATGAACCATTCAAGTTTCCATTCCAACTGCACATGCATTAGTATCCAGAAGTGGTCAAGGTATTTATTTACTGCTGCTGGTGTTACCAACATTCTCCCTGAATTCAACTATTACAGATCAATACTTCAAGGTCAATGCACATATCCAATTGGATATTAGCACTCTGAAACTTAAACTTCTTCAGTGCTTGCATGTCGTTGACCATCAGACTGCACCTATCAATATATTGTGGTGGTCCACTGTTAGACACAGAGATGTTCTATGATCTGTGACTTTCTGGGAACATAGCAGGCTTGCCCACTGAGGATCCTGGTAGCTGTGGGTGTATGGATGGGTCTTGCTCTGCTGTGTCCCCCTCATGTCCAGAGTGCTTTGGTAATTCTTGTTACCACTTGTACAACTGTGTGGTGCCAGCTCTGTCCATGTCTCCCTACCCGTCTTCTCTATTAGTTTCTCATAATAGAAGTGAAATCAAGGTCACAACATAGGATCCTGCTCTGCCCAGAGTTCACCATGGTGGCTGGTCTGGTGAACTGGGTGCATATATTTATGAGGAAGGGCTTGGCAAATGTAAGTTGGAAAGGTAAAGATGCAAATGCTATTTGATATTGGTAGCCAGCAAGACCTTGCAAGAGCATCAGTGCTGGGGCCTAGCCTGACTTGGGTTCTGAGGTAGAAATCTTTGTTGCTTCTATACCCAGGATTATCGGTATGAGCCACCTGTGGCTGGCTCAGAAGAGAAACATTTATCCTGTTTTCTTCATCTATTACTCTATTTCTGTTAAATCTGCCCAAGAGAACAGGCCCTCCCCACTTCCTCTTCACCTGTCTGAAACCAGTAATCAGCTGTCAGTCACCTGACTGTGATTCAGTAGTGGACCCCACACTCTCTGGTCACTCCTTCATCCACAGATGTCACTTCCTGAACCACCCTGGTCACGCCTCCATAGGACAGTGAGAAGTTCCACAGACTCTGTGGTCATTTCCACATCCGCTGTGGTCCTGGCTCAGCACAAGTCCCCTTCTCTTTCTTTCTCTTTTTCCTTTTCCTCTGTCTTTTCCATGCTCTTCCATCTCCTGCATGTATGCAGTTTGCCTTTTCTGGAAACAATAGCAAGCAAGAAAAAAAAAAAACATTGAATCCTTATCTTTGGGTTAATTTCACCTAACATCAACCTGTCTGACAGTTTCTGTTTGTCTCAGACATGTACTAGTTATTGCAAAGAAGGGAAACTTTGGGACCTATATCTCTTTGGGCCTGATTTACTTCACTTAATATAATTTTTCCAAGTCTTTCCATTTCCTAACAAAGGGGGCAATGCCATTCTTTCTGTTGGAGGAATAGAATTCCATTGTGTATGTATACCACAGTTTCTTGATCCATTCATCTACGGAGGGGCATCTGGGCTGGCTCCATATCTTAGCTATGGTAAAAATACTGCAATAATCATTGTTGTGTTGGGAGCTTTAGTATGGACTTGTTTGTGATCAGTTGGGTAAATGCCCAAAACTGGGATTGCTGAGTCATAGAGGAGCTCTATATGGAGTCTTATGAGGAACCTCCATACTACTTTCTAAAGTGCTTGAACAAGTTTACATTCCCACCAACAATGCAGTAAACTGCCCTTCTGTCCACATCCCCTCCAGCATCTGTTGTTATTAGAGTTCTTGATTATAGTCATTCTAACTGGGGTGAGGTGGTTTCTCAATGTTGTTTTGAATTGCATTTCTTTTATGGCTAGGGAGGCTGAACATGTATTCATGTGTCTATTAGCCATCCTTCTTTCCTCTTCAGAGAAGTTTCTCTGTAAGTCTTTAGACCAGTTGTTTATTAAGCAGTTGTTTCTGTGAGGGTTTGTTGTTGGGGGATTTAATCTTTTGAGTTCCAAGTACATTTTAGATATGAGACCCTTGTCCGATGTGTGGCTAGTTATGATCTTCTCCCAATCCTTGGGCTTTCTATTGATCTTTCTAGCTATGTCCTTTGCCATACAGAAGCTCTGCAATTTCATGCAATCCCATTTGTCCAACCTTTCTTTGATTTGTTGTGTTTCTGGGTCTCTATTAAAAAAATTTTGGCCAGTACCAAGGAGACCTAGGGTTTCTCCTATTCCATCCTGTAATGTTTACAGAATGTCTGCTTTGACTCCAAGGTCTTTGATCCATTTGGAGTTGATTCTGGTGCAGGGTGATATATAAGGATCTAGCTTTAGTTTTCTACAAGTAGTTAACCAATTTTACCAGCACCATTTACTGAAGAGGCTGTCTTTCCTCCACTCTATTTTTTTAGCTCCCTTATCAAAGATTTGATGGATATACGCCTGTAGGTTCATTTCTGGGTTTTCATTTCTATTCCATTGGTCTTGAGGTTTGTTATTGTGCCAGTACCAAGCTGTTTTGATTACTATGGCTTTATAGTAGAGTTTGAAATTTGGTGTTGATATTCCTCCAGCACTGTTCTTACTGTTGAGGATTGTTTTTTGCTATTTGGGGTCTTTTATTGTTCTGTATGAATGTTTGGATTGCCTCTTCTATTTCCTTGAAGAATGAGGTTGGAATATTTATAGGTATTGCATTGAATTTGTAGATAGCCTTAGGAAGTACTGCCATTTTCACTATGTTGATCCTTCCAATCCAGGAGCATGAGAGTTTTTGCCACTTTCTAAGTTCTGTTTTGATTTCCGTTTTCAGGTTTTTCAAATTTTTCATCATAAAGGTCCTTCACTTCTTTGGTTAAGTTAATTCCTAGGTATTTTATTTTTTGTGTGGCTATTTAACTAATGGAGTAGCTTTCCTGATTTCAGCTACGCTTTTCCCATTGTTGGAATACAGAGAATCCATTGCTTTTTTGAGGGCTAATTTTATACCCTTCTACTTTGCCAAAGTTTTGAATCAGCTTGAGTAATTTGGGAGTGGAGTCCGGGGTTCTTTAAATACAAAATCATGTCATCTGCAAAGAGGGAGAGTTTTACTTCATCTTTCCCTATTTGGATTCCTTTTATGTTTGCATCTTGTCTTATTGCTCTACGTAGGCATTCTAATACTAAATTTAAGAGAAGTGGAGAGAGTAGCCATCCTTTTCTCACTCCTGAGCTAAGAGGAAATGGCTTTAGTTCTCCACCATTAACTATAATGCTGGCTGTAGGTTTGTCATATACAGACTTTACTGTATTGTGGAAGACTGTTCCCTGGATTCCTAATTTTTCAGAATCGTCATCATAAAGGAGTGTTGGATCTTCTCAAATGCCTTTTCTGCACCTATTGAGATAACCATGTGGTTCTTATCCTTGCTCTTGTTGATGTGATGAATTATATTAACCAGCTTTGTATCCCTGAATGAATCCTGTATGATCGTGCTGTATGATTTTTTGGATGAATTGTTGAAGTCTATTGGTCAAATTTTTTTGAATGTGTTCGGTAGTCAACTTTCTCTTTAAATTTCATTGAAGAGTTGGAGGTGTATTGGTGTGAACTCTGCTTTGAAGGCCTTGTAGAATTCCTCTCTAAATCCATCTGGTCCTTTTCTTTTCTTATTAGGAGGTCTCTTATTGCTGTTTCTATTTCAATGCTTGATATGGGCCTGTTAAGATGGTTTAATTCGTTTTGGTTTAGTTTCGGCATGTCGATATTTGCAAGGAAAAGGACCATTTCTGCTATGTTCTCAAACTTATTAGCATAAAGTTTTGAGAAGTATTCCATTATAACGTTCTGAATCTTGTTTTTTTTTTCTGTGGTGGTTTCCATTCTCATCCCTGAGTTTATTTATTTGGGTGTGTTCTCTTCTTTTTCTGATAAGATTTGCTAACAGAGGGTTGATTCTTTCTATGGTGTTTTTATTCTTATTCGTTGAATTCTGATTTAATTTTAATTATTTCTTTCTGTCTACTGGATTGGGGTTTATCTTGCTGCTCTTTTACAAGGAGGTTTAGATGTGTCATTAAATTGTTGGTTTGGCGCCTCTGGGGGAAGATGGGGCTCAGGGTCCTGCTCTAGAAGGTGAAGTATACTCTTAGCATGCCCTGGGGCATGGGGCAGTGAGCATCATAGGAAGGAGACTTGGCCCTTGAGCATGAGGGACTGCATGTGGTTCTGGAATACCGCAGGGCCTTGCCCGTGTCTGGGCGCAGATTCAGCAACAACAACACGGGGCAGATCCTGAGCAGCAGGCCCAGGGGGCACAGGTGTGATCCATAGTCTATTCCTGCTATTCTGGCCCCCTCTCTGGGTTGAGGTGTCTCACCTGCCACGCGTGGGCTTTTTTCTTTTGTTCTCCTGCTCTCACAGTTTGGGATGATTTTCATTTAATGATTGTGTAGCTTTAATATATTGGCTATTCTGTCTGTCTGTCTGTCTTTCTTCACCCTTTCTTTTCTCCGTGTTTCTGTTGAGCCTTTGCCATCATTGGCACTGCTCACTGTGGCATCCATAGACCCTAGTGAGAAATGAAACCACTTGCTTTTTCTTTAAAAAATTTAAATACAGGATTGACGTTTATTGGAGTTGGATGGCAAAAGTAAAGGGAATTAAATATGAATTTATGTTTTCAATATGAAAAACGTCTCTGTGTGTGTGTGTGTGTGTGTGTGTTTCTGTGTGTGTGTGTGTGTGTGTGTGTGTGTGTATCAGCCCTGGAAGTCAGGGCCCCAAGCTCCTTCTCTTGGCTTTGTAATACACATGT